CGCCGCCGCTGGCTCCGCCGCCGCCGCATCCGCCGCCGCCGCCTCCGCCGCGGCAGCGGTGGTGGCGGAGGCTGAGGGTTTGCGATTGCACCTCTCCAGCAAGAGCAGCACCGGGTACAGGGGCGTGTTCAAGGATTCTGGCCGCTTCGGGGCGCGGTGCAGCGTGGATGGCAAGGATGTTTACCTTGGCTGTTTTGACACGGCGGTGGAGGCGGCGGTGGCGTACACGCGGGCAGTCGGCGAATATCAGCCTCCCACAGCGACGGCCTCTGCCTCTACCGCCTCTGCCTCTACCGCCTCTGCCTCTACCGCCCCTGCCTCCGCCGCCGCTGCCTCTGCCGCCTCTGCCTCCGTCGCCGCTGCCTCCACAACGTTCGCGCAGATGCCTCAGGCCGAGGCGCCGCTCAACAGCCTCGGCCTGCCGCTGCGGCCCGGTGCGAGCCCGTGCGCCTTCTACGTGCAGCACGGCGCGTGCCGGTTCGGCTCGAGGTGTCGGTACAATCACCCGGAGCCGACCCAGCTGCGGCAGATCGAAACGCTAGAACGGCAGATGCTGCGGCCCGGGTGGTCGCCGCAGAAGACCGATCAGCGACGGCCCGCCGAGAATCTCTTCAAGACGAGGGTCTGCCGCAACTGGGAGCGCGATGGGACATGCGCCGACGGTGCGAATTGTCGGTTTGCGCACGGAGAGCGGGAGCTGCGGGCTCTCGCGCGGGAGCCGCCGCCGCGGCTATGGCGCGTTGATTACCTCCTCGTGCAGCACGGCCACTGCAAGAACAAAGAAGACGCGAAACAGCTCGTCAAGGCCGGGCGTGTGCGCACGGGCTTACGCGGGGAGGTGGTCAAGGCCCCCGGGCAAAAGCTGCCTGGCGACGCGCGTCTCGCTGTCACCCCCGACGGCCAACAACTGGTCGGGATCCTGGATGCGGGGCCCGCGGCGCTCAAGCCCGCGCCCGCGTGCGTCGTCTGCGGCATGCAAGGGGTCATCGCGTCCCATCACATTCGCGACTGCCCCGCCGTCGCCGCCGCCGGCAGCGATGCCGCCCAGGAGCAGCTGATTGAGCAGTCGCGCGCCCAACGCAAGGCCGTACAGCAACGCGTCGTCAACCTCCTCGTGGCACGCGGGCTCTGCAGCTCGAAATCCGCCGCCAGCAAGGCGATCAAGGAAGGGCGGGTCACAAGCGGCGGCGAGACGATCACCGTGATGGTCCCCTTTTTGGCGCCCGACGCGCCCCTCAGCGTGGCAGCTGCCGCCACCTCCCTCCGTTCAGCCGACAAGCGTCCGCCGCCGACAGCCGAGCCTCCCAGTGCGTCTGCTACCAAGCATGCGCGGCCGGGACCGGCACCGTCACCGGCAGCAGCGGCTCCGGCGGCTGCAGCGGCACCAGCAGCGGCGCCGGGACCGGCCCCGGTGCCGGTGGCAGCAGCGGCGCCGGGACCGGCACCGGCGGCAGCAGCGGCAGCGGCAGCGGCAGCGGCAGCGGCAGCGGCAGCCGCAGCACGGGCGGCTCCTGCGGCAGCAGCACGGGCGGAGTGTGCCGTGCCACCGCCGCCGCCGTCGTCACCGTCGCACTCACCGCCAGCGGTGCCGCCGCCGCCCCCGTCGTCGCCGTCGCGCTCACCGCCAGCGATGCTCGAGTTTGGCGACCCGCTGCAGGAGGAGCGGGCTGCGATGCGAAGCGTCAACTTCCCCGCCGGGGCGTCGGAGGGGCGCGCAGGCGGCCCGGCGCGCGGCAGCGAGGTGCCTCGGAAGTGTCTTGGAGGTGTCTCGGGAGGTGTCTCGGACGTGTCTCGGAAGGTGCCTCCCACGGGGTACCTCTGCCACAACTGCAGGCAGCCGGGCCACTGGATCGGAGACTGCCCGCTGCCGCGTCAGAGCAAGCGGCCGAGGGACGACGCGTCCGCCGACGCCGCGAGCGACGCGGGCGAGGGCGCGGTCGACGGCGGCGGCAGAGGAGGCGGAGGCGGCGGAGGCGCAAAGCGTCCTAAGGGCAAAGGAAAGCAAAGCGGGCCTCCGGACGGCTACGTCTGCAGAATGTGCAGCAGCCCCGGCCACTTCATCGCCGATTGCCCGCTCGCCCCGCGAGAGCGCGCGGCGGAGCGGCCTCCGCCCCCCGCCGGCTACGTCTGCCGCAAGTGCAACCAGTCGGGGCACTGGGTCGAGCTCTGCCAGCTGCGCGGGCACCACAACCCCGCGTCCGTGGTGCCGCCGGTCACGCCGAGCGCCGGCGGCGGTAGAGGGGGCGGCAGCAAGTTCTGGCGTACATACATTCTGCCGCTTGTCGACAACCCCATGGGAGAAGGGGCGATGGTGGCGCATCTAGCCGCCCATTCTGCCGCTTGCTCTGGCACCGAGTCGGCGGAGGTCGGGCGCGACGTCGCGGAGGCGCTCGAGGAGGCGGAGGAAGCCGCCACGCTCGGTACGGGCGGCGGCGGCGGCATCGCGGCGCCGCGCCTCGAGACGCCCGAGGAGATTTCGGCGTGGCAGGAGGCGAGGCGCACGAATTGGCCGACGCGCGCCAACATCAAGCGCAAGGCGGAGGAGGCCAGGGCGGCGGAGGAGCCCATGCGCGTCGCCGCCGGCGGTGAAAGCGGGCGGCCGGTGCCGGTGCCGGTGCCGGTGGCAGGCGGGGACTCGCGCCCCTTTGACGTGCCCGACGACTGGCAGCAAGAGCGAGCGAGCAACGCGGCGGCGACGACGACGGCCACCTCGCACGGACTGCCGCCGCCGCCGGTGCCGCCGTCGTTTGCCCCGCCTTCTCTGAATTCCGCCGGGCGGGCGGGCGGGCTGCTTCCCTGTGCGAGGCGCGAGGCGCCGTGGGTCGACGCGACGTCCGAGTACACCTTTTCGGACGGCTCTCGCGTGGCGGCTGTCTCGGGGGGTCCGCCATTGCCGCTGCCGCTCAGCGCCGGTCCCGACGCGAGGGGGGCGGTGGCAGGTGGGGCCCACGCTCTGCAGCAGCAGCAGGTGCGTGGGCGACAGCAGCAGATGCCGCGCTGCCTGCCGCCGCCTCCCGCAGACGAGGCTTGGCGTCCGCAATGGCAGCAACAGCAGATGCAGATGCAATGGCAGCAATGGCGGCGGCAGTACATGCAGGGGGGGGCTCCGCGCGCCGTCCCCCCCCTTGGCTTTCATTTGCTGCCACGCGGCTTGCCACCGCTGCCCCGAGACGTTGCTCCGTCGCCTCACATCTCGCCGCCGCTCCCGCACGGCCCGCCGCCGCTCCCGCACGGCCCGCCGCCGTCGTTCGCGCGCACGACAGCCGCGCAGCCGCTCCACCCGCTGGCGGCGCCCTTCGCCCCTCCCGCCGACTACACGGCCCGTTTTATGTGGTGAAGGCGCTGGGGGGGGGTCGGGACCCCCCCCCAGCATGTGGTGAAAGTAGAAGTACGCCCTGGAAGCGATGTGTGCCCCGAACGATGTGCTGTAAACAACGTCTTGGTGTGAGGCGAGATCTGTAGCCGTCGTCTCATTTTTAAAGCAGTGCCGACCGGCTCTGGCTGCTACGCGCGCTCTCTCAGATCGCGTATTGACGCTGGGCCAGAGAGTTGCGTCCCACGCACACGTAAAATGATCGCTGTCGATCTCTGCGCCGCCCAGCGCGGGGGCGAGTGATTTTGCGCCGTGTCGTCGCGCACCCTCTCCTGCCGTCGCAGCCATCCGCGCCGCCCGCGGAGAGAGGGCCGGTGGGGGGCGGGGGCGGGGGCGACCGCTGCGCCGTCAGTTGCCGCCGGTGCTGTTGCCAGCCATCAGCGCCCGCGCTGCCGCCCACAGCCTCACCAGCTGGTCGCGCGACTCGCCCTCCTCGTCGAATAGGTCATGCGCCTGCGAGTGCGCGGCTGCGAGGGTCATCACGAGGACTCGAGCCCTCACTGGAGAGGCCGCCGCCGTGCTGAGGAGGCGAAGGCGAGGGCGGCAACGGGGGCGGCGGGGGCGGCGGGGACGGCGGCGGCGGCGGCGGCGGTGGCGGCGGCGGCGGCGGGGGCGGGGGCGGGCGGCAGCCAGGGTGGCAGCGGCGGCGGCGAGGGTGGCGGCGGCGGCAACGGCGGCGGCGGTGGCGAGAGTGGCGGTGGGGCATGTGAGGGCGGCGGTGTGGCGGCGGCGGCAGTGTGGCGGCGGCGGCGTTGGTGGCGGCGTTGGTGGCGGCGAGGCAAGTGGCAACGGCGGTGGCGGGGGGGGGGGGGGGGGGGGGCCAAAACTTTTTTGGGACTTGGGGGGGGGGGAGGGACCTGCCGCATGAGCCGAGATGAGCCGAGATTGAGCCGAGATTGCCCAGACACGTGTCTGGGGGGGGGGGGGCGGAGGCGCCTGCCACATGATGGCGCCGGCGACCACCGCTATGCTCAGCGCGGTCGTTGCGCCGCACGCCTACTGGCAGGTGGGGCATGGGGAGAGATGGTGGGGAGAGACGGTGGGAGAGAGATGGTGGGAGAGAGATGGTGGGAGAGATGGGGAGAGATGGGGAGATAGATCTACGCCTGCGGCCAGGTAGGGCATGGGCAGGCCCGCAGCACTGGCGAGCGCCTCCGGGCCTCTGTGAGCAGCCGCGCCCTCCGCACGTGCCGCAAGTCGCGTTGCAGCAGATCTGGCGGGTCGGGTTTGCGACACCAGCCAGGCACTTGTCCTCGGGTAGTGGCATGATGTAGTCTAACGTGGCGGTGGTACGCGCTCTACCCATGCAACGGCACGAGGATAGGTGGACCGCCGTCGCCCAGACAACCAGTGTCGCTCAGGCGTGCGAGGCGTTCGCGCCGCTCACAGACTATAGTCAGCACGTCGATTTTTCTTCTCTGCCGCATCATGAGAACAAAGGAAAGAGGATAGTGAAAACACTGAGACACACGAGGCCACGACTCACGTTTTGTGCACAGTGCAGCGCGTATTGGCGGTCGCCGCCTGAGCCCATAAGACTGCGCCGCCCAACGGCAACGCCGGCTCGTGCGCCTCTCCAGCCGCCGGTCCGGCTCGGCGACCTCTCCCCGCGAACCGCGCGCGCCGCATCGCGCGGGCAGCACTCCTAGTCCTACTCCGCCTTCCACGGCAGGTTCTCGCCCCACTCGTCGTCGTCGTCGTCCTCCTCCACCTCCTCGTCGTCGTCGTCGCTGTCGGCGTTGTCGAGCTCGTCCTCCTCCTCCTCCATGATCGCCTTCTCGTGCGAGTTGAGCGCCTCCTCCATCGCCTTGATCAGAGCGCCGCCCTTCTTCGAGTCCGCGACGAGCTTCGCCGCCTCCCAGACATTAAAGGCGACGGTGGCCACTTAAAACTTTCCGTACCTATCTAGATATCCTGCTCGGAAACGTTGACAACGGACGTCCCATGGCCCGACGAATCGCGCGCTATGGCGGACAGTGCGCAAGAGGCAGCAGCCAATGGCAAGGTCGACGTGCTTCGCGTCCTCGTCAAGCAGTGCGGCAGAGAGGCGCTGACGGCTGCGAATACGGACGGCTGGACGCCAGCGCACCGGGCCGCTTTCAATGGCCATGTCGACGTGCTCCGCTTCATCGTGGAGCAGTGCGGCAGCGAGGTGCTGACGGCTGCGGCTGCGAATGGCTTCACGCCAGCGCACGGCGCCGCTCTCAATGGCCATGTCGACGTGCTCCACTTCCTCGCCGAGCAGTGCGGCAGAGAGGCGCTGACGGCTGATGCGGACGGCGACACGCCAGCGCACGGCGCCGCTCTCAATGGCCATGTCGACGTGCTCCGCTTCATCGTGGAGCAGTGCGGCAGCGAGGTGCTGACGGCTGCGGCTGCGAATGGCCTCACGCCAGCGCACGACGCCGCTACCGAAGGCCATGTCGACGTGCTCCGCTTCCTCGCCGAGCAGTGCGGCAGCGGAGCGCTGACGGCTGCGGATGCGGACAGCGAAACGCCAGCGCACTGGGCCGCTGACAAAGGCCAGGTCGACGTGCTCTGCTTCCTCGCCGAGCAATGCGGGCGAGAGGTGCTGATTGCTGCGAGCGCAAGCGGCAACACGCCAGCGCACGACGCCGCGTACAACGGCCATGTGAACGCGCTCCGTTACCTGGCCGAGCAGTGCGGCAGCGAGGCGCTGACGGCTGCGGATGCGAACGGCTGGACGCCAGCGCACCGGGCCGCTTTCAATGGCCGTGTCGACGTGCTCTCCGTCCTCACCGAGCAGTGCGGCAGCGAGGTGCTGACGGCTGCGGCTGCGAACGGCCGCACGCCAGCGCACCAAGCCGCTGAGAATGGCCATGTCGACGTGCTCCGCTTCCTCACCGAGCAGTCTGGCAGAGAGGCGCTGACGGCTGCGGGTGCGGACGGCGACACGCCAGCGCACGACGCCGCTACCAAAGGCCATGTCGACGTGCTCTGCTTCCTCGCCGAGCAGTGCGGCAGCGGAGCGCTGACGGCTGCGGATGCGGGCAGTGAAACGCCAGCGCACTGGGCCGCTCTCAATGGCCATGTCGACGTGCTCCGCTTCCTCGCCGAGCAGTGCGGTAGCGAGGCGCTGACGGCTGCGGCTGCGAACGGTCGCACGCCAGCGCACAACGCCGCTGAGAATGGCCAGGACGACGTGCTCCGCTTCCTCGTCAAGCAGTGCGGCAGCCAGGTGCTGACGGCTGCGGCTGCGAACGGCGACACGCCAGCGCACAGGGCCGCTTACAATGGCCATGTCGACGCGCTCCGCTACCTCTCCGAGCAGTGCGGCACAGCGAGGCGCTGACGGCTGCACGTCGTGCAGACGGCGACACGCCAGCGCACAGGGCCGCTCTCAATGGCCATGTCGACGTGCTCCGCTTCATCGTCGAGCAGTGCGGCAGCGAGGCGCTGACGGCTGCGGGTGCGTATGGCTACACGCCAGCTCTAATCGCCGCTCGCGATGGTCACATCGACGCGCTCCGCTTCCTCGCCGAGCAGTGCGGCAGCGAGGCGCTGACAGCTGCGGCTGCGAAAGGCTGGACGCCAGCGCGTAATGCCGCTTTCATGGGCCATGTCGACGTGCTCCGCTTCCTCTCCGAGCAGTGCGGCAGCGAGGCGCTGGCGGCGGCGGATGCGGATGGCCACACGCCAGCGCACAGGGCCGCTAAATATGGCCATGTCGAAGAGCTCCGCTTCATCGCCGAGCAGTGCGGTAGAGAGGCGCTGACGGCTGCGAATGCGGACGGCTACACGCCAGCGCTCCTCGCCGCCCAAAAGGGCCAGGTCGACGTGCTCCGCGTCCTCGTCGAGCAGTGCGGCAGCGAGGCGCTGACGGCTGCAGGTGCGGACGGCGAAACGCCAGCTCTAATCGCCGCTCGCGATGGTCACGTCGACGCGCTCCGCTTCCTCGCCGAGCAGTGCGGCAGCGAGGCTCTCATGGCTGCGAATGCGAACGGCCACACGCCAGCGCACGTCGCCGCTATCAAAGGCCATATCGACGTGCTCCGCTTCCTCGCCGAGCAGTGCGGCAGAGAGGCGCTGACGGCTGATGCGGACGGCTGGACGCCAGCGCACCGGGCCGCTTTCAATGGCCAGGTCGACGTGCTCCGCTTCATCGCGGAGCAGTGCGGCAGCGAGGCACTGACGACTGCGCTTATGTACGGCGTCACGCCAGCGCACGGCGCCGCTCTCAATGGCCATGTCGACGTGCTCCGCTTCATCGCCGAGATGTGCGGCAAACAGGCGCTGACGGCTACGGCTGCGCGCGGCGGCACGCCAGCGCATTTGGCCGCTCTCAATGGCCATGTCGACGTGCTCCGCTTCCTCGCTGAGCAGTGCGGGCGAGAGGTGCTGATTGTTGCGAACGCAAGCGGCAACACGCCAGCGAACCTCGCCGCTGACTATGGCCAGGTCGACGCGCTCTGCTTCCTCGCCGAGCAGTGCGGCGGAGAGGTGCTGACGGCTGCGAATGCGAACGGTTACACGCCAGCGCATGACGCCGCTTTCAATGGCCAGGTCGACGTGCTCCGCTTCCTCGCAAAGCAGTGCGGCAGCGAGGCGCTGACGGCTGCGGCTGCGAACGGCGACACGCCAGCGCGACTCGCCGCTCGCGGTAGACACGTCGACGCGCTCCACTTCCTCGCCGAGCAGTGCGGCAGCGACGTGCTCACTCCAAGTGAAGATGAACAATTGGCATGGGCAATGGCAGAGTCGATGAAAGGCGCAACCCCACAGTCGGAGGCGCGGAAGCAGGAGGCACAGGCACAGTCGCCGCCACCTCCGCAGCAGCAGCAAGAACCGGAGGAAGAGGAGCTGACGTTAAACAGAGAGCGAGCCCGCGCCAGCCTACTGCAGACCCTCAACGCGCGTGGCGCCACGCCGCCTGTGGAGGTTCCCCTCGCCTACCTCGCAGAGTGCACCTCCGACTTCAACTGGACCGAGCGCGGCTTGGGCGAGGGCGCCTTTGGGCGCGTCTTCCGCGGCATCGACGCGGTGAGCGGCGCCCGTTTCGCTGTCAAGAAGCTCAAGGACGAGCTGGTCCGCGGTAACGATGCGGCGGCGCTCGCGGCCATGCATCGCGCCGCAGAGCGCGAAGTACGAGTGCTCTCGCGCTTCCGACATCCGCACATCGTCAGCCTCCTCGGGTTCGCGATCTCTGGCGCCGATCGTTGCCTCGTCTACGAGCTGCTCCCAGGCGGTGCGCTCGACGTCGCGCTGCAGGACGACGGGCGCGCTGGCGAGCTCACGTGGCGGGTGCGCGCGCGCGTGGCGGCGGGTGTCGCCAAGGCGCTCAATTACCTCCACCACGGCGGCGGCGGCGAACGCTGCTTCCATCGCGACGTCAAGGCTGCCAACATCTGCCTGCACGCCGACCTCTCGCCGGCGCTAATCGACTGCGGCCTCGCCAAGCACATCCCCGCCGAGGCTGGCGGGCTGCAGACCTCGACGGGCGGCCGCTTTGGCACGCCGGGCTACATGTGCCCGCGCTACGCCAACGGCGGTGCGTTCGACGACAAGTCGGAGGCGTATTCATTCGGCATCGTGCTGCTCGAGCTGATCACGGGGGAGGTGCAGAACCAGCGGCGCAATCTCTACACCGTCTTCATCGAGGACGAGGACGAGGAGGTGGATGATGCCTTTGACGGGCGCGCCGGCGAGTGGCCCGCCGCCGTCATGCAGGAGCTGAGCGCTCTGGCGCGCACCTGTCTTGACAAGTACAAGAAGCGCTGCTCGCTGCAGGCGGCACTGCAGCGGCTCGTGCGGCTGGAGCGCGAGCAGTGCGCCCCGACGGCCGAGGAGGGGCAGCTTGCCGCAGCGCGCGCCGAGCTTGCGCGCCACGCCGCGAACGCCGACGTCGCCGCGGCCTCTGCGGCGCAGCAGCAGCGCACTTGCGTAATCTGCTTCTGTGACTACAGCCTCAACGAGGGCATCGAGTGCTCGGCGCCTGCCCGAGCCAAGGCGCATTTCATGTGCAATGGCTGCCTGGGCACGTACGTCACGGGGCAGGTGACCGACCACGAGGATGCCAACCTCCGCCGCTTCGAGCAGCGTGGCGGCGTGCGCTGCCCCAGCTTCATCGCGCCGCGCGCCGGCCAGCCGATTGTCCCCGGCACGTGCTGCGCGCCTGCGTACACCGACGCTGCATTGGCGAGCCGCTTGCCGGACGTGACGTTTGCTCTGTACTTCAACGCGAAGAGCAAGGTAGCTGAGCAGCAAATCGAACTTGCGGCGAAGCAAAGGAGCGCCGCTGAGGTCGCTCGGCTGCAGGCGGAGCTCGCGAGACGCGACGAGGACGTGCGGGCTGCGCAGGTGCGCACGCACATCATCGAGAAAATCCTCAACCCAGCGTGCCCGCGCTGCGGGCAGGCCTTCATCGACTTCGAGGGCTGCTTTGCGCTCTCTTGCAGTCGAGTAGGGTGCACCATGCCGCCCCATGGCTTCTGCGCCTATTGCTTGCACGACGCCAACGGCGACGCGCACCACCACGTTGCGCATTGCCGGTACAACATCGCGCCGCCCGGCAACGGCGTGTTCGCGTCGATCGAGGTCTACCGCGAGGCGGAGCGGCGCCGGTGCCAGCGCATGTTGCGGGAGTACCTCGGCAAGCTCGACGAGCGAACGCGCGCGCGCGCGCTGCGCGATTGCGCCCAGGAGTTTCGCGACTTGCGGGTCCAGCTCTGAACCGGCGAGGGCGGTGCATGTGCATGTGCGTCTCTCTACGTGAGATCGTACCGAGCCGTGGTGTCGCCTAGAGAGAGGGTGTCGCGCGCCGGTGGCTGTTTTGTGCATGGCAGAGTCGATGAAAGGCGGCACTCCGGTCTCCGCAGCGCGCAGGCCCCACCGACCCCACCGAGCACCGTCTCTCTCGATGACTTCCGGGTTTCATGGATCATGGAGGTCAACACACTCAACTACCCCACAATTAAAGTCAAAACTTGCACATGACTGAGTACAACCTTGTACACACAATACGTACGGATGCGCATGCAGGAGCTGTGTGCGCGTGCGCCACAGACGACCACAACTTAGTGCGAGTCGGGCAGCAGCGCCCCCGCCTTTGTCCATCGGCTTCCCGACCCGAAGTTGAGCTCCGAGACGAGCACGTCGACGCGTATGTTTTGGCCGGGGTAGCCCTCGTTGCCGAACGGGTCGAGGAAGGACTTGGACAGCTCGAGCAGCCCCTTGAAGAAGAGGGTGAGGAGGCCGGTCGCAAAGACTGAGAGAGATCCGAGCTCGGGGTACAGCGCGAAGGGCGAGAGGAAGACGAGCGAGTCGACCAGCACCTGCACCAGCTGCACGTAGGCGAGCGGCATTCGCCCCGCCGCATAGTCGCCGATGTTGAAGTACTGCGCGCGCAGCTCGGTCAGGCGCCGCAGCAGGTTGTCCTCGAAGCCATTGCCTCCGCGCAGCGTGCCGTCGGAGATGCCGCTCATCGCATGCAAGCCCACCCACTCCATCAACACGTACGTGTACTGCGAGGGCGGCAGGCCGGTGCCGAGCAGCGCCGCGGCCTCTTCCGGCGTCAGCTCTCCAGCGGCGACGAGGCCCTGCAGCCCCTCTGGGCTAAGCAGCAGCGGGCCGATGGCGCGCGCGTTTCGGAGCTCCGCAGGGAGGTCCTCGGAGGCGTCGCCGTCCTCGACCCCCCCATCGCCGACTCCGTTGGAGCAGGTGGGCGTGGCGGCCCAGAAGAAGGTGTGCGAGACGCGGATGAGCCGAGTGCAGCGCTGCAGCAGCCGCGAGGCGTCCTCGCTGTAGCCGGACCCGCCCCGCTGCGCGCCCACCGCCAGCAGCAGGCAGACGTCGTTGACGCGGCCCTGGATCGCGCGGGTGGTGAAGTAAACGGACCGCCAGTGCGCGTACGCCTGCGAGGTGAAGAACGTCAGGATGAAGGTGCAGAGCGTGAGCTCGTACTCCCACAGCGTGTTGAGCCCGTTGAGCGACGCGATCAGCGGGTCGGCGGCGGGAGGCACGGAGAGCATCGACCATGACGCGGCGGAGAGCTCCCGCGAAGCGTAGTCGACGGCGACGCCCACGCCCATGTTGAGGAGCACCGGCGATGCCGTGAGCGAGAGCACGGTGCCGCGCCACTTTGACCAGAGCCAAGCCGCGTCGGGGTTGTACTCGCAAACGATCGGCCGGTTGGCAGTCTTGGCGACGGCCCACTCTGTCAGCAGGTCGAGCTCGCCGCCGTCCCAGCCAGGAGTCGAGGGCATGCCTTCGTACGAGCACGCTGGCGCACCGCCGCGACGAAGGCCGGCTCTGCTCGAGTGTCCACGCGCTCGGGCGCCCGTAAGCAGAGCGAGGGACAGCATGAGTGTGTGTGTAGCACACACACCTCTGTCGAGGTTCTCGAGGTTCTCGAGGTGGATAGAGCTCTACATGTATCCTTCGGCCGCGCGTCGGGTAGCGAGCACCGATTACTTTTGAAAAAAAGAATCTTAGAACAAAACTCCCTCGCACAACACTGGGCAGAGAGGGGTCAGGCTGCCCGTCGAGACCTCGAGAGCTCTCCGACACCTCACAGCTCCCAAACGACATCGATCTCGGACCTGCCGCTTTGCAGGCACCCTCAGGGTGCACCGACGCCCGCCTCCTCCTCTCCTCAGGTCCGAGATCGATGTCGTTTGGGAGCTGTGCCGCGCGCTCCTGTCGCCTCCGCGAGCGCCTCCTCGACCCGCCGCGGGGCCCGGGCAACGGCCTCGAGCCGCGCTGGCGATGCTCGGCCTGCCTTCTGGCACCCTATCGCACGCACTCCCGCCAGCCGCGCGCTCCCGCGCCGTCGTGCGAGCTTCTGGCGTCATCCGTGCGAGATGCGGCGTCCCGTAGCGGCCACACGCGGATCAGCTCGGTCACCTCGAGCGCGCTCGCTGCCTGCGCGCCAGGCAGCGCTCCTCTCTCGTCGTCGCGGCGACGAGTCGGGACGACGCCGTCGCTCGAGGCGCGTGGCCGGCGGCGCTCCTCTAGGCGGCGCTCCCTCGAGGCGCCGGGCCGACGTGACTGGGGCAGCTGCGGCGCACGACGGTGCCCAATGGCCGCCTCCGCCGTCCCCGGCTCGGCCTGTGGATCAGGGCAGCGGTCTCTCAGCTGTGCCGTCTCTGAACAGACACACTCGAGGACACGCGCGCGCGACGCTCACAGCTGCGTGTGCCGGCAGCGGTGGTCAGTCTAAAATGTGTCTTGGTCAGTCTGACGGGCCAAAATATTTGAGGAAACACATTTTGCTGTCCTCACGCACTCACGGCCCGCGCATTGCGGCTCCGCCGAGACCTTGTTGGCAAAGTTTGATCGCACGCGCTCGTTTTCCCAGATCCCACTAAATCATCACGGCCCCGTAACACCCCCTCCGCGCGCGGTCAAAGGCTTCCCAGGGCCGGTCTATGACATGAACCGATAGACACAAGCAAAAACAACCGCACCTCTAAGCTTCTCGGGCACCCCGAGGCCCATACGGCGCCCCGGCGGGCCCCGGCGGAGGTCCGGCGCGGCGCTCCAAATCCGCACTCTTCGCGAGCTTCTACGGGAGTTGACGCGGCCTCTCCGCCTCGTGAGGCACACCCCACACCCACCACGAGTCCTGGGGCCGTGGGCGGACCTTTGGCCGCGGCGTCCGGAGCTTTGGTCGTCGAACATCGGCCGCCAACTAGGCCGTCGAGCGAACGTGTCCGGAAAGGCTCTCGGATGGGTCCGGCAGCGGTCCCATGGACCCAGAAGCTCGCCCCGGCCGAGCATTCACGGCTCGGCCCCCGCCCCTGGTCACCCAGACGTGCCCTTGGACAGCCGTAGGGGCTCGGATGACGACGTTGGCGCCCGCGACGACGCCCTCCCCGACGACGTCGCATCTGGCACCAGACACTACTCGCGTACTCGGGCGCGGCGGCGCGGACAATCACATGGTTTGGGACTCTGAGCGATGGCAGAGGCCTTTATTTGCAAACGAGGACGCCCCGCGAGGCCCCGTCGGCCGGGAGTGGTGAGTGGGACCATAAACAAGCACTATATCCCGTACCGCGACCAGCCCACACACAGCCCAAACCGCTGCCAAACCGGCCCTGATCACGCCGGCCGGGAGGCTGCCGTGGCGCCCAAACAGTCCCTCACGAACGCCACACGGGCCACCACGGCCCGTCCGGCGGCCCGAGTGCCGCCCCACACCCGCCCGACGCCCTCGGCCAGCCAGCGCCCACTCTGAGAGGCTTCACCGCCGCCAGCGCGCCGAGCGCGCCGCCCTCTCCTCGCGCCACACGGGCCCCTGGCCGCACGCCCGAGAGGCGGCCCATAATTTGAGTCGAGACGCGCCGCCGGCCAGCCAGCAGCTCGCCCGCCACCCGCAGAGTGCCGCCGCCGCCCCCAGCCCGCACTGGAGAGGCTCTCCCGGCCGCTAGCCGCTGTCGCGTCGCCCGGCGGCTGCGCT